TGCCACCTCTCACAGAACTACATGGATGCCGTTGTTGCTATGCTGGTTGCTAAGCAAATTAACTCCACCCACCTAGCTTTATTTGAGCAAAGAAAGAGTAAAGCTGCTGTAGCAAGTAAAATCTCGTTAGTTTGTAATACATTAGGCTTATTTTGTTGCAAGGGATTTGTTATAATCCTTGTCTACCAGTATAAATGATTTATGACGAAGGAACGACCAAAATTAGGTAAGCGTCCTATGCCAATATGGGTTTTACTTTTCATGATGTTTCTACTAGGAAAAATAAAAGAAAGTGCTACAAACTACTTCATGAAGTTCCACATTCTATTGAGTAAAGATGTAAAGAAGCTTAAAGCCATAGAGAAAAAGCTACTTGACAAAACACAGCTATTACTATCAGTTGCTTATGCCGTTGCTACGCAGTTTTGACCCTACTTATACCCATGATAGACCTGTTTTTAGGAAAGGAGCCACTAAACAACTACTTATTATTCATGGACAAACTGTCATGGTATTTTTGAAACAGGTAAAGGTTATTACTGTCTCAAGTAAACTAATCTAAAGAACTGGTAAGTTATTCTGCCACTAAAGATATACATGATTGTCCAGAAAAGTAAGATTTTCTTTGCAAAACTTTATTTCTTCTGTTTTACACACATGCATAAAACACTAGACTATACACTATAGATTACTCACTAACAGATAAAATGTAAAATACAGCTGTCACTAACAGTACTTTTTGTGAAAAAGAAAACAGTCCTTCTCAGCATCACCTCTGTGACATAAGTAAGTGTTACAATCCTGACAGTGCCAGGTTGTTTCTCTTCTAATGCCATAGATTAGTTTACAGTACTGACAAGGATGTTGCTTGCCATCACCTTTTAGTGGAAAGTGGTCAGGACGAAATGGTTCTATTGACAAAGGTTTTCTTCCCCTTTTCTTATGAGAGCAGTATCCCTGAAGTAAGGCTTTGGCAAGCATTGTCCTGAAGTCTTTTGTATTGCTACAGGGAATGACATGAGATGATAATACAAAAGAGTTTGTGATGGTAATATCAAATAACATCCAGAAGATGTATTTGTGGTACTTTCGGTGGACATGATAGTATTGTCGAAGCTGGTCATTGCAATCAACACCTCCCATGTAGCGGTTGTATTGGGTAATGGCTTCAGGACATGGAAAAACAGAATGTTGTCCAGTTCTCAGTTTGCGTGATACAGAATGTAGTGGTACAGTTTGACAAAATGTTGAGGAAACAGTTACTGGTTTAGTGTCTTGCCACACAGATACAGTAAGCTGTGGATTCCTTCGACTTTGAAGAGTGATACTGTCACCTCTTTGAGGAAGTCCTCATTTCAGAAGTGGAGCTAATTTAGGTGGGAAACCCCTTCGGTTGGATCTTATTGTTCCACAAGCGTAGATACCACTTTGGAGATCAGAGAAGAGTTGGAAACTTGAAAAGAAATTCTCACAGAAGACTTGATGGCTACGGTGATGAATATCAGATGTAAGATCTTTTACCACTCGGTTTCCTAATCCTACTTCAGATGAATCTTCTTTTCCAGTATATACTTGGAATCTTGATATATAGCCATTGGTACTGTCAGCTCTTGCCCATACCTTTATTCCTTTAATTACAGGTTTCATGGGCATGTACTGCTTCAGAGACGAAATACTTGATCATTACCTCATCAACAGCACATTGACAGTGAGGATTATACAGTGAAACAAAGCGGTCTTCGATGAGAGTGAGGAATTTACGCACTTTACAAAGACGATCATAACTAGGATCAGAAGGTGATAAAAGGGAACTGTTATCGAATAAAGTTAAGAAAACGGTGTATTTGGAAGAACCTATCCCTGGTCATGCTGTCAGCTATAATGCTGCAGTGAAATAGAGGATCGTACGCCAGTAATCGGCTATAGATGGTAACTTGATCAGCCCTATTACTATCATTACGCCAAAGTAGGCAAAGATGTCTTTTTCAGTTACCGGGTCCCATGACTCATACCTTTCTTCACCTAGGCACAGCGAAGCGTAGCGGTTTGTTTCAGTGACCAAGAGTTCCGTGATTGTGGAGTTGAAGAAGAGACGAAAAACTTCTAGCGGTGTTGCAGGTAAGGCTGTAGTAGGTCCTTTTTCATCTTTGAAGTTTTCATAACTCACTGGCTCTAACAAGTCACTCCAAGACAACTCAGTACTATAATAATGTTATTGATAATTTTTTATAAAATTGTAAAATTATATACCTTCCTCCATCATGTTCCATTTCCTCTTCCATGTGCTCCTTTTGCCTACATGTATCTTGTATAGCTGCATTCTCAGTGAGCTCCATAGTCCCGCTGTGTTCCATTTCTCCATTTCTTTCCTGTAAATCTGCAATAACTTCTTCAATTTCACTCTCTACACTGACTTCTGTAAAACGACTGTGCAAAAACTAAAGTAACAAGAAATAGGTGATAGCTCACTCATCATCTGAAGTATCTTCAAACCCAAGCTCATCATCAGAACCATCAAATATGTAGTCATTTGTATCATTAGTGACACTTTCAAGCACCTCCTCTGCACTAAAGCTTCTATGAGCCATTGTGTCACTAAGTAAACTTTCTTTATCTTATGAAAGCAATTATTTACCTGCTGCAACAACAAGCAAAAAAAGATAAAAGACCACGCGTCCTTAGCTACGTATTTATACGTATATTGTACAATGAAGTAATGAATGTTTTATGTAAAAATACGTTACTCGTAATTAAAGGGTTAATTATTTATTATTTTGTTACTATTATTGTTGTTATTATTTGTTGTTGATATAATTTGTGTTGGATAGGTTGCCCTATCCAAGGTGGGGAGTGTGTCAGGACTGGGAATTACATTCAATTAATTGATTATTCATTGTCAATAATATTTAATGTGATTATTATTCATAGTGTGTTTTGTGTACATATATATATATATATACATATATAGACATTTTTGTTAAGGGTTAAGTCTCCCGACTAGTTCAATAGTTCTTTATACAGTCCTATGATCTGTTCAATTAAGCAGAATATTTTGAGAAAGAGATATTTGAACTGAAACGTCTTGTTGTTATCGTTTTAGCGGTGCATTATCTGCAACAGCTGAGAGCCACAGATTTTGACTGAGACTGGAACTACGAGGACCAAGCAGAACTAGAAAACGTAAAACCGGACGGGACGTCATCAATAAAATGTAAATACTATGGCGCTCTGTGAAGAGTTGCTGCACTCAAATCTGCAAGAGATGTCCAAGAGACTGTATCCTCATCTTTACTTAGATGCAAAGCATCTGTTTAAGATGTCTTGATGGATCTGGTCTCCTGTGTCACATACGTAGAGCCAACCACGTGTTCTTTTCACACTTTCTGCATGAGTGTCTCCAGACCCATCCTCCGCAGGTAGCGAAGGGGCGGAGCAAGACTACTCTTGTTAAGACTTGGCAAAGCAATATTACAAATTCACTTGCCCTCATTAATCAAAGTAGTATCTTAAAAATTCAATTAAAAATATTTAATTTTGCTTTTGAAGTTACAAATACATTGTACAGAATTATCCAACTACAAGATCTCTGCTCATTGATACTGATGATTATGATGAAGATTATGATCAAGATTATGATTTTGAGTACGATTTAGAAAGTAATGATAATGATGACAATCACATGATAATGACAAAAACAGTGATGACATTGATGATGATGCTAATAATGGATATAATAACAATGATGACTGTCACTGACAATGACACTGATGATGATAAGACAGATGGAGATATTCTCTGTGAGGATGATTCCTTGTTAACAATGTCAAATGAATGTTTTGTTTATATAGGTGATGACATTGAAGCACTTCCTTATTCTCCAATGACTAGACATATTATAGTTAAAACTATGGAAACGGATAATGAGGCACAAGAGTCTCAAATAATATCTTTCAAAATAGTAGGAGACAACATTGATGAAAACA